AGGTAGAGACATCGGTCAAAATCTGGCCTGCTTTCTTGCATGCGTTTCTTGGCATGAAAGCGACGATGAAATGAACGGGGCCTGATGACTAAGGCGACAACGACGTCGGGCGTCCTCGATGGCGATGGGTCCCCCACGGGAGTGGCGAACGATCGCATTGTGACACATTACGCATGGTGCACCGCTTAACAGGACAGTGAGTCTAGAGAAGAAACGGAGAGAGAGAGAGAGAAAAAGAGAAAGACAGTAAGAGACAGGTAAGGGGGGAAGAGGGAAAACCGTCTGGCACAGCGTCATATACAGGGTGTTTCGCAACAATCCTCTCGAAGCAAGTGCAGCGAAACATTCTGAACTGGGAAGCTCGGATAACTAGGAATGACGCCCATAAGACATAAACAAGTTACACGAACTTGTTTACGGCTCGATATTCTTGATAGCAATTTGAGTTCCCAGTGTGGTTCGATCTTGCTTTTAATTTAGAGTTTGATCGACCGGATATTCTTCAGCGGGCTTTCAAATCCACTGCAGTCATCGTAAACTCGTAAACTCGGACTGAGGCGTACAAAGCTCGCAAAAGAATATTTGACAGCGCGTTGACACGACAATAGTCTGATAGCTCTAGCCATAGTAGAATCGGCCTTTATCTGTGCAAGATGTCAAGAGATATCACGAGAATTGATAATCGAACCGTGTAAAATAGATCTCAAGGCTGTTTCGAGATTGAGCTGTTTGAGGGAATTGCGATTACGACTATGATGTCACGAGTATGTCCGATTGACTCTCGAGGTCCATCTCGAAACTAGTATATGACCGAGTTCTTCAGAACAGGAACGCAATTGTAAATACTCTGAGTCTGAGTACTTGGATCGAACTGCGGCTTTGATTGGAACATTATTAACTCATGTTTAATTATAATTATTTAAAAATAAAGCTATAAAAAAAAAGTCTCGAGTTTTATCAACGGGTTTTTTTTCATTTTGAACGGTCCAAAACTTATCATATCTCTTTTTAATTCATTCTAATTAATTTTTTTATCTTTTATTTCCTTTATCCATTTGCCTCTAGAATATTTGCCAGCGCGACAAGTACTTTATCGAAGCACCAGTCGCGTAAATCTTTTACATAATTCAAAGTTTTTATTCTACTACAATATTTCTTCGCTATAGATTTTTATAGGCGTCAAGGATTATTCTTGTGTCGCGAGTGAAGCGCTATTTCTCATTCGTCGTTTCTACTTTTTGTGGAAATCTCAATGATCAGGATTAATGTGCGACCTCGACAATCGCGCATCGATTTATTCGCGCAGCACCTCATCAATGGAACGTGCATCGCGAGTCGACGACCGGCAAAGCGACGCAGGGCGTCGCGGCGGCGGAGGGATGCTGTCCGCACCGACTCGAACTACGTAGCGTCGCGCCGCGTCGCCTCGCGTCGCGAGGAAAAGAAGAGAAAATCGCGCGGAAAGGGAGGGAGGGAGGGAGGGAAAATCCAGCTCGCCGACTCCTGACCTCCAGGAGACGTGAGCGAGGTCGTTCTGCGATCGATCGATAAACGCGCTCACGCTCTGCGACCAAGGTGCGAAGAAACTTCGCATGCAGAGAGAAAGAGTGAGACAGAAATGGTGAAGAGGAGGAGGGGAGAGAGAAAGGAATTGGTAGATAGAGGAAGAGAAAGAAGATAGGGTTAGGGAGAGCAGGGGCGCGCATATGGAGAACAGGCAGAGCGAGAAAGAAACCGCCCCTGTTATCTGTCTGATAAATGCGATTTCTCCTCATGTCGCTAATATTTACAAATTTTTCGCAAATCGATGAGATGTTATTTATTGTCCTCAATTACTTTTTCGAAATGCCGCAGAAAAATACAATTAAAATAATTGTTTTAATTTTGACGCGTCTGCAATTTTAATTAACATCTGTGCATTTCGAAAACGAAACTAACAATAATTAAATTGTTATACATTCAAACAAGTGTAAATTTTCAAACAAGCGCGATGAAACGTTCAAGGCATTAACCGAGAGAATTATTTCGATGGAAATGGAATAATTATTATGTGTCGCTGTCGCTTTCGGACTTTAACACATTTCCTGCTTATACATTCATCAAATAGATTCAGATTGCTACCATGACAGTGCCATTCTTTATTCTCCGATCGGCGCTAAATCTTTTTTCATCGATAGAAAAGTAACTATTAGGGAATCTCTAATATCCCGTTTACAAATTTCCTTTGAGTAAAAAAGATATTAATAAAACTACGAGTTTCTATACCGGTTAGGTGTAAAATTTCTCTGGGAGCACCCCTGCAGAGACGGCGAAAGGACCGGAACAATCGATCCTTCAGCCTGCGGAAAGAGAGCGCGAGGACCGGCTTCTTCCTCTCGCTCTCTTCGTCCCTCTCTCCATGTCCCTCTGCCCCTCCGTCTCGCTTTCTCCCAACGGCTCGTCCGTTTCAGATAGCCGGCTGCGAATTCCGGAAACTCCCTAGAGAAGCAGACTTTATGTGTGACCGAGCAAACGAGCCGCATAAATGTACGCACGGATATTAAAAAAACTTGATAAAGAAGATTAAAATCAAGATTCATGTGAATATTCGTTATCGATAGAAATTTCGTTACGAATGTGAACGAATAAGAAGTCTAAAGAAGAGGTTTCAACTCGAAAATTTACCTTTCTCATCATTTTTTATCGGACATTACTGACTCGTACGCGAGTCCGTAATTCGAATTTTTTCCCCTTTTTCCACGCGAGTAGACTAAACATGCGGCAAACGCTCGATCTTTGCGTGGTACAGTGAATGGATAAGTGGGGGTGAGCGTACGCGCCCGCCACTAAACGCCCTCTTCATGTTTTTTCTCTCTTTTTCTCTTTTCTGCGTCCCTTTCCCCTGTGTGGTTTTCTTCCCGATTTCATCTCGTGAGTTACTTCAGTAATTTTGACTTTTAATTAGCACCGATGTGCCACTGTCCACATGTGCTACTTTCGAGAAACTCTGTAATCAATACGTATATCGGTAAGGGCATATTTTATCTCATGCTCCCTTTTTTATGACAAATATAAACGGCATTAAGATACCACGTTTCTCAGGTCGAAGTGAAAACGATCCGTTTTAGGCTAAAGTTCGGCAGAGAACGCCCGGAGAACCGAACGTGTAATGAATGTTCTCTCTCCCCCTTCTATCCACCTCCTACTCCACTATCTCGTCGTCCTGCTCGCGCTCTCATCTTTTTCCTCCACTACTCATCCACCGTCGCCGTCGTGGCGCTCCGCGCGTTTCACACGGCTGCCAACCGCTGCTCGCCAAAACTCGTCGATGTGGCCGCATCACCGGCTCGATTACTCTCCCCTCGCGCTGTTCCCCCACATGATCACGCGGTCGGTGAATCGTGCGTTCTTGTCGAGCCGGCGGTGCGATTCATCGCGCTTTCTCGCTCGCACCTGAAGCCGACCGAAGCGACACCGACTAGCATGCATGTGTTGAGTGGCGGCAACGCAGACAGGCGCGGCCGCCGGAGCCCCGGCGTTCGGTGGAGATCGACAGCAGCGCCGCTCGTCGGTGACTATCCTCAGTTTCGGGCAAGATGGGCGCACCTCGCCGGGCAGTAGCTTAGTCTCTACCTACAAGACAACACACACACTAAATGTTTCCTATAGTAACAATTAACCAATTGTACATTAATCTTATTTAAGGGTAAACGAACGGAGGAGAGAGAGAGAGAGAGAGAGAGACATTTACAACACTTCGTATTACACGCTCTACACGCAAGCTCTATTTTTATAATAACGCGCCGTTTAAATTAAAAGTAGTGTGTGCTCACCCCGCGAGGCAACGCGGTACGCGGTGTGTAATTTGTACGACCGTTGAAAGAGGAGAGAGAAGTGAGAGCCAATTGCTCCGTTCTATCGCGAGAGGGATAGAGAAGTGCTACGCGAGAGAAACATCGTACGGAAAAGTCGAGGAAAAACGATAACGAGAGAAGTAGACGGGAGGAAGAGCAGAGAATATTAGGGAAAGAGGAGCGGCCGTTGTGTGGTATGTGAGTGTGTGTGTGTATGTGTGCGTGTGTGTATTCGCCATCGTATGTACGTGTATGTTCTACAAACTACTACGACAGCTAGTAGTTAGCGGTGATCATCGCGAAATATAACGGCCAAAATAACGAGTGACAACAGCGACAGCGACGTCAACGTCGGCGTCGGGAGTGATCGAGACGCGTGAGGAACGCTCCGAGGGTTTTCTTCCCTACGGGAACGGAGCTACGAAGGGAGAAACGCGAGGATCATCTTCGACGATTTCGTGCCGACGCCGTCTCCGCTTGGCGACAGTGGCGGCCAGGCAACAGAATCAGCAACAGCAGTGCGCCTGAAACGAGTAAGCGGCCGATAACGGCGGCGGCGCAGCGCGGCGCGGCACGGCGCGGCACGGCGCGGCGCGACTCCGTTCTACACTCGGTGCAGGTTTACGGGCGTTCGCGGCGCCGTTAGTCTCCGTTCCGCGACGCGGTGCGGTGTGGTGCGGTGTGGCGCAACGGCGTGCGCTTTTTCTCTCTTCTTTTCTCTTTCTTTTCCTCTCCGGGAAAACCCTCGTCGGGTATGTGCAGTGCGTATGTGTGTACGCATTGTGTATGCATTCATTCGTTCGATTGATATGTGTATAGAATAACGAGGAAAATTGACAGTGACGACGACGACGATGATGATGACGATGATAACGACGATGATAACGACGATGACGACGACGCTGCCGCCGCCGCTGCGTTGAGCGACGAAAAAAGGTGTGCAAGTGAGACGAAAGTATACGACCAACCGACCGGTGGCCGGTACATGCTGTGCGGCTATTTAAAAGCACTAAAAGTGTGGTAATCGGTGAAAAGTGCCCTCCACACGACCACGACACACCCTCTTGACATCCGTCGCTCGCATCGCCATCGGCTCGGCAGCGGCCTCTCTTTTTCTTTCTTTCTCTATCCTCTTCCTTCTCTTTCTTCGCGTCTTCCCTTTCTCTCTCTGTCGTCTCGTTTCATTCCATCTCGCTTCTTCTTTCGCACACTTACAGAATCGCCAACGTACGTACTATATCTTTCTCTCTCTCTCTCTCTCTCTCCCTCCTTCTATCTCTCCCCTCTCCTGCATTCTTCCTCGTCTCTAACCGTGCACACGTTGCTCTTTCTCCCAAAGGTGCTCTTCGCTTTCTTTCTTCCATCTTCCATCTTTGTCTATTCGATGGCGCAAAGTGATTTATCATCACGATGGATTTCGTGATGACGAAGACAGTGACGACAACGACGGCGACGGCGACTTTGGCCCGTTAAAACTATAGGTACAGTACAGTACGGTACAATCAGTCCCTACCCCTCTCTACCCCCTCCTGCGCCGCCATTGGGCCATCCCTCGTCGTTGCACGCCGAGCAGCAGCAGCAGCAGCAGCAGCAGCAGCAGCAGCGTCTCGCCCGGTATTCTTACACTACGTCGCCGGCCTCACACACGTACCCTTTCCTCGGGATTCTTCGTCTTTCTTTCTCTTTCTACTTTTCGCTTTACTCCGGTTTCCACCGACCGATCGAGAGAGTGCACGAATTCGCGTTTAGTGATCTGTGCGTGCGTACGTGTCGCGTGTGTCGTATCGTATCGTGCCGTGCTGTGCCGTGCCGTGCCGTGCCGTGCCGTGCTGTGCTGTGCTGTGCTGTGCCGAGTCGTGTGTCGTGTCGTGCGAAAGCGCGCTACAGCGTGTGGTTTTCTCTGTTCAGTTGTCCCATCAGTACCGCCGGTGAGCGAGGAAACTCATCGCGCGGTGTTGCGGTGCGGCAAGTGACGACGTCGTCGGCCGCGAAGCGGACGAGGACGTACGAAGGAACGACGAGGAAGCGCCGACGAACGAGAAGAGGAGGAGGAGGAAGAGGAGGTGGAAGAAGCGGCGGCTGTGCGGGAGGTAAAAGAGGCGGCGGAAGGAGGAAGAGGAGGTGAAGGAACCAGAGTGGCGGCGCGAAAGCGACCGGCGACGACGGCTGACGGTGGTTTTAGGCTGCGCAGCGTCGCGCCGGCGTATTTTGTTATTGTTATCATCGCGGCCGTACCTGTACCGTCCATCGACGACGGGCGACGTGACGGATTCCTCTACTTACTACAGCACCAGCCACATCGGAATCGCGACCATGTCCGTGAGAATGGAAAACGTGGCCGCGCG